CTATGAATGAACAGCAGGTGATGTAGATCACTCCCATTCATTGATAATTGAGGATATAGTCAACATACCATGTCCTCAATTATCTACAAACACTCAGCGATCACTGATCACTGAGTGTTTGTACCACTCTCCTTCCTGACAGCTGTCACAGTAGGCTGAGCCAGCGGTGCGGGGAGGAGAGCTCAGCTTCCTGTGACATCGTGGGCTGTCTCCGCCCACACGGAAAGAAAGGGAGGGAAGGAGCGCAAGTACTGACTCAGACTTTTTGGAGGTGGATAGACCAGGGATTGGGATTCCCTCCCTTTCTTTCCGTTCAGCATCACACTGTTAGACACCCCGGTCTAACAACACAAGGAGCTAAACCCTTAAAATGGCCAGAATTGAACAACTAGATTCACTGCCCATGGACATCATTGGGCTTTGCCTCTAGGTTCAGGTTCACTGAACCTTGAACAAAATTCTCCGAACCCTTGGTGAATCGAACCTGAGCAAATTCGGCCATCACTAAACATGAATGGATATTCTTAGCTAAGTGATTTTTTTACTTTGTATAACCTGATTCACTAGGATAAGAGTAAACTCAATTTGAAAGTGAATATGATTTACTCCTTTTTTAAAGCAACCCTGCTGCAATGAAAGTTAATGTAATTATTTTGTCACATTATAATTAGAAAACTTGAATATCTATACAGATAGCCATGCCCAAAATCTGTACTGAAGACCAAGGATAAAAAAAATGCTGTGTTGTGAAAGTTGAAACATTTTATAAAACCATCCTAGATTCCTTTCACTTATCTCACAGAGAGCATAGGTGATTTGCCTGGCAGGATAAGATGGGGTTGGACTTGTCCTGAGGGAGGGTTGGAGGCTGTGCATTTCTGCAGTCATGCTGTAGTCTTTGAATGCAAACTGTGACAACGGGGTATTCCGGGGGGTGTGAAAGTGTCCACACCACACTAAAGGAAGTAGAAAAAATATGCTTTGTGCTGAATTTTAAAAGGTATTTAGTGTTGTTATCTTATCAAAGACTACTATAGGCGTTAACCTGTATTGCTGCATACCATAGATTTCTTCATTTTTAGCCTGCAGTTTTACTTAAAGTGTAGGCTACGCTCTGAAGATTTAAGGATTCTCGTGCAGCCATGCAGGATGATGGGGTGGCCGATTGCACAGTAGAGATTTTTGGCAGGGGAGACGAGCAGAGACACGGTAGAGGTGAATGCATGCAGCAGAGAGCGTGCACATCAGACAGACACCGTGGGACCTGAGGAGTCTGTGCTGGATCGGAGACTGGCACCAGCACTGGAGGGACTCCTGAAAACTACTGGAAGAAAGAAGATGATTGGATCAAGAGGCATCATAGTAGAAAATGTCACATAAATTATCTACATGCATGATGGAAATGTAATACAAATTAATGGTTTTATTTCTTTTTCTTTCAGCCTTAATGGCCTCACACACATCTAATCAATACAGGGGCAGGAGGTTCTATACCATGTACCATGGCACTAATTATTCTGCAGCTGTGAGCATCATCAAGGATGGGTTTCGTCAATCAGCTGATGGCATGCTGGGAAAAGGAGTCTATGTTACTAGAGATGAACAAAAAGCTTGTCGTTACCCAGCTTTTATTAAAAGTGAACAGGTTGTTTTGAAGCTCAGTGTGAGAGTAGGAAAGGTGAAAAAGATTGATGCACAACATATGCATATGGCAAAGACATGGCATGATCATGGCTACAATTCAGCATGGGTACCTCCAAATTGTGGCTTACCACAAGTTCCTAATAACTTAGAGGAAGACTGTGTTTGGAACCCCGGGAGGATCAAGGTGGTTGCCATTTCTTATGTTGCTAATCCGCAGCATAGGGGGCATTTGGAACAATTACTAGCACAGAATTCACGCTAAAATAAAATATATTATCTGCCAAAAAAATTAAATTCATTATTAATAACTATGATAAAAATGTGTCATTCTTGCAGTAAACAAAAGAAAATAAATAAACGTAATAATTATTTAATACAATAAAATATCTGATAACATGTGTGCCTTTCTATGTTTTCTAAGCAGTTAAGAACATTAATAATCTCTTAAACAAAAAAATTAAGTGACAGTAAACTAAGGAGCTAAATCTTAAAAATGCATTCAAGTACCCTGATTTGTATTGAAGGTGTAGTCTATCATGGGAGAGAGCTTGGAGAGGTGGCTACTTTACAACACACACAGGGACCGATTTTCAGCGGGTTAGTGGCATGCTCGGAAGACAAATAGCGAACGGGCAAGTGTGCGCAAGCGCACACTGCCCGCTCAGCATTGGAATCATCGGAAGCCCTCCCCTCGGTGGGGAGGGCTTTCGATGATCGCAAGTACGATCTGCCTGTCCAAGATGGGCAGATCGTACGAGATTATAATTACCTTACAACCATCGCACAACGAAAGTCGTGCGATGGTTGTAAGGTGTATGGGCAGCTTTACTAATTCTTCCTTTGGGCCAGCGCCCAGTGAAGGATGTCAGAGCACTGCTGTTATAACAGAATGCTGGACTTTGGAAGTTTTCTGGATTGCGGCCGCGCGAGCGCAGCGGAGGTGGTCGGGTCCATACATTTCACAGGCTGTTTGCCTGCATTGTGTATGTGCGGAAAAGTGGGTCCAGAAAATGTACAGGCAAGGCACCTGTATTATATTGATATTTTGATAATGTGTTACGTGATGTATTTCCAAGTGTCTTGCCTGTGTATTGTGTAAAGCTAGTGGCTTCCCTGCACAGGTGCTCGTGTGCTCATGTTTGGCTCAGCTGTGAATTTCATAGATCCACTGCCCACAAGTATTCTATTGATAAACAATGGCAGTCATTTATGATACACAGTGTATTATGGTGCTCGCAGAGTCCATGCCAAGATTTCCACCAATGGTACTCACAAGATCCCTGCTAGTACTTCTAGTGGCACTCACAGGATCCAGGTCAGGAATTCTAATAGTAGTTGCAGAAACCGTGCCAAGACTTCCACAACTCCTTGAAACAATGCTGGGGGGTATCCTCTGATCATGAGGAGTATTTAAGTATCAGTTTTGGAAGTGGCTGGTGGTGTGTGTTCAAACCAGCTATCCTGTTTGTGTGAAGAGCTATAATACTGTTCCTGTTCCTGTTTTGCTAACCCAGACTGCCTGACCATTCTCTGTTATTGTCTGCTAGGACCCCTGCCGGATCCTGACCATATTCTGGTCTTCTGTCTTTGCCCATTCCTTAGCAGGGCGATCCTGAGGACCACAACCTGGTACCAGCACGCACTGAAACCCCTCTCCACCATTAGGAGCTCTGGTGAAAACTTAGGCTCTGTGCCTCGGGTGACCCTGTGTCACCTGCCATCTTAACACAGTGTCTTATCAAATTAAATGCTATTCAGTTAACGTTTGCATCTACTATGCCATCATAAAAAAAAATGGTGGGTAGGTGGACTGGATTTTCTAGGGCACCATTTATAAACAGCAGTGCAGAAAACATGCACAAGTGGCCTGTGTGCCCTTTGAATGCCTGGAATTGAGCTGTCATTCACACAGATCACAGGCAAAATGCTGAGAGTCAATCAGAGAGGCTCTGTGATAGCTGTGATCCAATTACAGCATTTACAAATTTAAATAAAAAGTGGGAAAAAACCCTCACCTCTGCATCTGCTCCAAAGAGCTTCTCGGCCAATCTGTAATACTACATCTAACATTGCTCCCACCAACAAAAGAGGGATCAGAGGTGGACCTGATGGAGAACTTCCCCGGTGTCAGAAAAAAAAAACCCCAGACAGCAGGGAAAGGTTTACTCTACTAGATAAAGCAGAGTAAACCTTTCTGGGATAAAATGTTTCTTAATATGTTTTTCATCATTTTCTTCAAACTATTTTAATTTCCGTTTAATTGTCACATTTTAAAACAATTTTCAACTTTTTTTTTTCTTTAAAAAAAAATGTATTTCACTTATTTTCTATTCTGCTCGGTACCACGGATGTAACGAGCAGAATAGCCGACCCGAATGCCGCTCGGCAGCATTCTGCTATTCACTATTCATTCAAGTGAGCTGCTGGAGCTTCGGCTCATCTGATCAAGATGTTGGATCGGCTGAGTCGAAGTCCTTCTGCACTTCGGCTCAGCATGTCATTTAAAGGATTGGTGTTTTCCCATGGTGCCCCACAAAGTCGCTGTACAATACCTTTTTTTGTTTTGTTTTGTTGAATGCCCCCATGGCAATGCCCAACTCCCTATGTCCTTTTAAACAATAGGTTTTAAAAAGCATTACTTTAAACCAGGGATGCACCAATACCGATATTAGTATCGGTGCCGATACAGTTAACTTTCACGAGTACTTGTGAAAATCCCTTGATACATAGTGCTGATGCCGGCGCTTTAAACTTTTAACCCCTTCATGACTGAGGCCCTTTTTTCAATTTTTGCACCCATGTTATATTCCACATTTTAGGCCTGAAAATGACGTAAAACCCCCCAACATTATATATTTTCTGAAACTTTAACTTCTTGTGGTAAACTTTAAAATAGAAAATTGTATACTAACCTTTCCATAATTTTCTTTTCCTTGTTCCTCTTCATGGCAGAACACAATCTTTTAATGTGCTGCCCCTTAACCCCATAGAACAAATCATTCATAACATTTGGTTTACTCCCATCACCACCCTTTCTAGTAGATGTTAGTGAGCTATGGGAAGGCAGGGAAAATCTGTGGGCTGCCATGAAGATGCGCTAGGAAAGGAAAATTAAAGAAAGTGTAAAATTTTTAATCTTCACATCATGGCAGCACACAATGGGTTTCACGTACCTGGAGTGAGACCGGATGGAGGAGATGGCGTCTCTTGCATCCTGTGGATGTGGGGACAGGGAGAGAAGGGCACAGAGTAGCACTAGTGCCTGGATTGTAGAAAACCAGATGCAAGCGAGGTACCAAAGCGGAAGCTAGAAGCCAGGTCGGGGTCATAAGCTGGAGCCAAGCCAATCCGGAGTTGCAGTGCCAATTTGGGAGCCAGAAAGGGTCAGGGTCAGAGGTCAAAGCCAGTGGTCTAGCAGGTATAATCAGAAGACAGAAGAATGGTCAAGGCAAGCCGAGTCAGGAACAACAAAACAACAGGATCACACGAGCTACAGAATACAGAAATAGCTGAAGGAACAATAAGCAATGGAAGTGTGCAGCAGGTCTGTTTAAATATGGTTCCATATGCACGTATTGTGCACGTTTGCCTTTGACCCTGAGAATGGGTTTTCGGACATGCGCATAGATGCACATGGCACTTTGGGCATGCGCAGGACGTTTCTTACACTGGGATTTAATGATCACAACAAAAGGAAGGGTGCTGCTAACACAATTTATTAAGTATTAGATGAGCTGGAAGAAATTATGCTGCTTCGATAGTACTTGTATTAAAAGCTGCTGGATCTACCCTTTAGTGGCTGACGAACATATTTCTAGATGACCAGGTTGATGCTTTGCAGATGGTCTCAGCTGAGACCTTGGAAAATGCTGCCCATGTAGCTGCCAACGCCCTTGTTGAGTGAGCTCTTAGCTCTAGAAATACGAGCAGGTTTTTAAATCTGTTTGACTTTTTAATGAGCATCACTAACCAGGAAGCTATGGATCTCTGTTGCTGGTTGTCCCTTTTTTACACCAAAATGTACAATAAAAAGATTTTAGAGATTGCTGCAATATATATGACTTTAAGGTTTGTCCTACATCCAATGGGTGAGGTTGACCTGCCTAATCTATAAAGGTAAGTGTCACATATGCCCCCTGCTCCAGGTGGCCACGTGACTTACTTTGGTGGCAAGAGGGTCGAAAAATAATGATTAACGATCCCACCGCTGCCACCAACTTTCATGGACGGCGGGCCAGGAGAGGACACCGAAGGGGTACAGGCTCGTGGGAAGGGTTGCACGACGCACAGGCTATCACCGTCCTTCGCTTGTCCTCTAGGGGTTCTCGTCGCGAGAACCCCCAGAGCGAACCCCAGTCCGCAGTCGTGACGGAAAGGCCGTACAACAACACGCACACACGAATTAACTAATCTAAGCTGTCACCACTGGAGGTAGAGACTCACCTAACTCAAGCTGGCTGGACACACACAGGCAGATGCAAATCTTGCATACAATCTATCCTGTTTCCTCACGCCTACTAAAGTTCCCCAAGCTATCCTCTCTGCTAGAACCTTGTCGCACCCACTTCTTCCACTACCCACACACACACATCAGACACACAGATCCCTGCCTGGCAATTACTTACAATCGAGCTTCAAGGCACCGATTATACAATCAATTGACTATGTACATGCAACAGTCACACAACAGTCTCCTCAGATTTGTGCGTTCTTTTAGAGCAATCAAAAAACAACATATTCATTTTATATTTAATAACCCTAGAGGGGCAGTGCATAGAAAAAAGGTAATTACAAAAAGTTACAAAAAGCAGATGGTACAGAATGAGACACACATACAGGTGAAACTCGAATAATTAGAATATCGTGCAAAAGTAATTGCAGTAAGTGCTGCAAAAGGGGCCCAAACCAAGTACTGAGTGCATATGCATGCTTGTACTGTTCAGAGGTCCGATATTGTTCTATGTACAATCCTTGTTTTATTGATTGCATGTAATAATCTACTTTTTTGAGGTTGTGGATTTGGGGTTCTTGGGGTTTTCATGAGCTGTAAGCCATAATCATCACAATTATGACAAATCACGGCTTGAATTATCTTGCTTTGCATGTAATGAGTCTATCTCATATATTAGTTTCACCTTTTTAAGTTGCATTAGTGAAATAAATGAACTTTGCACGATATTCTAATTATTCGAGTTTCACCTGTACATACAAGCAAACAATATGAAAATAAAACGGATAAAACTTACAGAGATTATGCTTAATCCTGCTTCTGGGATTGGATGGAAAGACGTGGACACACTCCCATGTGTGAATGGACCCCTTGAATATGACAATTTTTTGGTTTCAGATCCTCATTATTATACTAGGAAGGTCAAAACCAGTTTCCATCCCCTGAGATCAGCCAATCAGATGAAAGGGGCTGAAGATGGCATATTACCACTAGGGTCTTCATGTATTCTTTTTCTATTCATCATCTTGGAACCCTCATAACTGTTCCCAGTTATTAATTATGGATCCGAAAGTCATGGTTTTGGTTTCAGCTATTGTTCTGCTATTTGCAGAGTCCAAACTCCGGCACTCTACAGCTAACAGAACCAGAAATACCATAAAGAGACCCAATTATCAGAACTCCACCTCATTTTATGGTAAAATCCTGATGTTTAGTGCAGTGGCGGACCTAAGGAACAAAGGGCCCTCCTCCCGCAGCGCTCGGCCGCCTGTCACTTTCTCTCCTCCCCGCTGGGAAGAGAGCAGCGCCCAGCGGGGAGGAAAGAAAGCACGGATGCGCCGCTGTATCGGCAGAAAAATGGCACTTTCAGCATTTAGCCAAAAGTGCCGATATCTTTTGGCGGCCGATATATCGGTGCAACCCTAATATTTACAGCAATGCAGAATGCCCCAGGCTATAGAGGACTACACATCCCAACAATACTTTATATAACAATAGCATTTCTGTATAAAGTACTGCTGAGATTTTTAGTCCTCTATAGAGGGTGCCATTGTGCATTGCTTCAACACTACTTTATACAACATTAGGCTACAAATAATTATTATTTTAATGAATTATTTACCCTTACATCTTCTGGCTGGTCTTCTGTCTTCAGCTGTTTCCTATGTGTTATCTGTTTGCTGGGTCCTCACTGCCGTCCGAGGCCCCATGATGTGCCTGCAGGGCTGTCTTCAGTGCCTCCACTTTCTGCGGCTCCCTCCTCACAGCGGCCGGCGGGCCCCATACTATCTCAGCCGGCGGACAGGCCCCCCC